TATTTATTTTAAAAGAATATTGTAATCAATACTTAATTAATAAGAAACAAAATCTATTTATTGATGAACTAACTTACATTAATTTATAATTAATTTTCTTATTTACTAAATACAAAAAATATTTTATCAATTTTCTTGATATTAATTTAACTTGAAACTAAAAAAATTTTTTTCATAAAATAAAGGCGTATATAAAGCATAAATTTAATAAATAAGATAAATAATTGAAAATATTTAATTTTTATGATATTAAATTTAACATACAATTTAATTAAATTCACATTTATCTATTTAAAATATTATTATTTATTAACAAAATGTAAAAAATACTAAACAAATATTATTGAGATAGTTTTTATTAAAAATTAACTATTTTGATTTTAATATTTTTCTAGATAAACTCACCATCCATCCATTATTCATTGTCTCAATTAAGTCTTCAAAACTGAAATTTCCATTGCTATCAATATTATTCTACCATTTAAGAAAAATAAATATGTTAATTAGTTATTTATTAAGTTTATATTTTTATTTGTAATATTTTTTCTTTTCAATTTTTTATAGAATTTATAGGGAGGTTTAGATATATGAATCTGCTAATTATTCTAATAATTTTTTTTTTCAATTTATATTTTGAGCAGAATTTTTGTAATTTTTATTAATTTTTTGAATCCACGCACTATTTATAAAAAATCAAAATAAATTATCATTAATTTTTTTTATTTTGTTTTTAGAAATCTATTTTAAATTAATATGAAATTTTATTTTTTTTAATAATAAAATTATTTGCTTGATCGCTCATTATCAGCAATCAAGCATTTTTAAAATAGCAAATTGCTATACTATTATTAAATCAGCAAATGTTTAGTTTCTTACCAATCCATTTTTACAAATTATTTGGTGATCCTCTTTTACAAAAAATACCAAATAAAAATGAATGATATTTGAATCATGCTAATAATTTAAAGAAGTTAATGTTTATTAAATTTATTTTTTGGTATTTAGATTATCGACATAGAGTTATTTAAAATTATTAATGTGTTTTATTAATTCTTAATTTAATAAATAAAAAAAAATATTATTTATTCATCATCTATTTAAAAAGATTTAAATTATTTTAATATTTTATTAAATCATCAAAAAATAAATAATGAATTAGTTGCACATCATCTTTAAATGAATTAATCAGCTAGTTAAAAAATAAATGTAAATTTAAATTGATTTTAATCTAAAATAAATAAATGTAAATAAATACAATATTTAAAAATAAATGACATTTTTTAATGAAGTAAACACAATAATTAGCTTTTTTTTCAATTTTATGGTTTATTATTTAAAAATATTTCCAATAGTAAATATTCTGAAACATATTATTTCATCATTTCTTCATCTTTAAGATCTTTATAGCAAGAAAGAATTTTTTTTAGAATTAAAGCAGTAATAGAGTGATAGTATAAAGTGATTTTTTTCATTACTTCAAGAGATTCTATAAAATATATTAAAGCCTTTTTGTAATTGCCAATCTTTTCATAGCAACTAGCAATATTAAATAAAGATATAGCTAAATCTTAATTCTCTATTGATTTACTTAATTTAAGAGATTTTTGATAATATTTTAATGCTTTTAAGTAATTTTTAGTTTAAAAATAACATAATCCAATGTTATTGAGAATTGTCGCTATTTATGAATTATCTTTTTTGAATTATTATTTATAAATTTTTAAAGACTCCCTAAAGTATTCTAAAGCTTTTTGATCATTACCACTATCTAAATAGAAAAACCCTAGATTATTCAAACACCTTGCTATTTCAGGGTGATTTTATTTCAAAAATTTTCTATTTATTTTAAGAGATTCCTCTAATAAACTTTTATAGTTACAACCTAATTTTCGTAGGATTTGACTTATAGTATTGAGTGAATGGGCAATGTCAGGATGATCCTCTTTGAAAAGTTGTTTTCTGATTTCAAGAGATTCCAACAAATAATTTAAAGACTTCTTGTATTCTCCTTTAATATAATAGTAATTCCCAATGTTATTCAGAGATTATGCAATATTAGGGTGATTCTTTTAGAAAAGTTGTCTTCTTATATTAAGAGATTTTTCATAGTAATCCAAAGCCTTTTAGTAATGACCAAGATATTGATAACAAGTGCCTATACTATTCATGTAATTTGCAACTGATTGGTTGTTTTTAATTTCGATCAAACTTTATTCTATTTCAAGAGCTTCTAATAAAAAATTTAAGGCTATTTCATTTTAATCAAATTAAATATAGCATAATCCAATTAAATTAAGAGTTTCGGCGATTGATATATGATTCTCTTTATAGAATTATCTTTTAATTTTTAGAGATTATTATAAATATTCTAATGCCTTCTAATTGTCACCAAAATAATAATAGCATTCCCCAGCATTATCCAGGGAATTAGCAATATCAATGTGATTCTCTACAAAAACATCTTTTGTCATTTAAAGAGATTTCTCAGTATATTCTAATGCCTTTTAGTATTATCCTAAATAAATTAAACAAATACCAATCTTTCTGAGATTTTTGGCAATATTAGGGTGACCTTTATTGAAAACTTATGACAGCATTTTAAGAGACTCTTAATAATTGTCTAAAGCATTTTAATAATCGCCAAGGATTAAAAAGCATGAAGCAATAGCGTAATGAAATGAAGCTAATGAAATAGGTTCTGGATACTATTTTATCAAATTTAGAGATAATAATAAATATTATAATGCATTTTAATATTTATTAAGATTATAAAAACAAAATCCTATTAATTTGTAGGCCAATGCTATATTCAAATTTACTGCCGTTTTCTAAATTTCATCAAGATTTTAAGCAGAATATTTTTATAAAACATTTAAATAGTTTTAATAGTATTGAATTTTTATTTCTTAAAAGAGACAAGCTTCTTTTTTGAAATTAAAATCTTCTAATTTATCAATTTGAGATATATTTGTTTCCACTTCGAAGCAACCAATTTCTAATATTTTTTCTAATAATAATTAATGTAAATCTAAACAATTTTTTCTATCGTTTGGATTTTTTTAAAGCATATGATTTTAAATTATATCTTTAAATCCTGCTATAACTTTTTTATCATCAGGCTGGACACTTTCATAGTATTCAATTATTTTTTAATATGTTTTCCCTAAAGAGTAAATATCAGATTAAAAGTTTGTTTCAGTACTAAATCCAGATTTAGAATTGATTGCCTATTTAATTAATTTACAAAAAATTGAATATTATGTATATTAATTGAAAGCTAAATATGCTTAAAACAAACTGCTATAATATTTATAAAATGTCATTTTTTTTAAAAAAAATAAATTTTGAATAATTTTCACAGAGAAAAAATTTTGTAAATTTTTGATGTCAAATTACTTCAATCTATTCAGGGGAAGCATAAGCTTTTGTGTGACCTTTAATTTCAATTTGTTGTTATTTTTTATTTTTAATAGATGAAATACCAAAATCAGTAAAAAGATAATCACCATATCTAGAAATGAGAATATTAGCTGGTTTAATATCAAGGTGCACAATATTATAAATTCTAAATTAAATTAAGCCATCTATTAACTGATTTATCATTTTGCACAATTTCTCTCTAGGAAAATTTCTCTCTTTTTAGATTTTTTGTAACTCTTCTTATAAACTACATTCACATTTTTCTAAAACTAAAACATCTATTGTCTCATTTATTTTAATATGATCGATAGTTTTAACCACATACTCATGCATTTCGAACAATCCCATAATATTAAGTTCAGTCTAAGCATCTTCATTAAATAAGATTTTGAAAGCTAATTCTTGATATTCAACCAAAGAATTTTTATAGCCTTCAAAAATTAATCCACATCCTCCTTTATTTAAATACTTGGTAAGACGGTATTGCTTTTCTTCCAATTTTTAAAAAATTATATCTTAGTTTTATTTAAATTCTTCAAAAACATAATAATAGTAACACTCCTATCCTTGTTTGCATTCGTTACATTAATTACAGTTTTTCTAATTTAATATTTTATCATTCTTTTAGTTAAATTATTCCTTTGACCACCCAATCATAGGTTTAAGCTTTGAAAAGATATTATAATACTGAATATAAACATCCCTTTTTAATATAAAGATATGAATCTCATTAGTTGGTAAAATAAAAAGATTGACTTCCTCTTTAAATTCTCTTATAATATCATATTCCTTTATTTCTGATTCTGTTGGTTTTTATTTAATTATAAATATGTAATCTTCATAATATTCTTTTGATAATTATTTATATCCTATAAAAGTAGTTTTGTTCTCATTTGATTCAAAACACTTGCATAAATAATACTGTTTATTTTTCAGTATCTTCAATATTGATTTTTATTAACTCAAAAGTTATTCATTAAAAACCAGTTTTTAATTTTCTATTTCAAATAGCTTTTTACTCCATTATCTTACATTATAATTACGTATTTCATTTTTTTCATATTCTTAATATTTGTATTATTCATTTTGATATACTTTAAAGTTGTATTCATTTATTTGTTCTAAAATATCATTTTATTTCAAAAAATCTTGGATTTCAGAAAAATAGTATTCTTAAATTACTTCGTCATTGATCTAAGAACTCTAATCTAAATTATTTATGAATATTATTTTCTTTTTATGTTCAAGATCTGATTCATTTTATTTCCCTTGATTATTAGAGTCATCATCTGACTTTTTAGATAAATCTTCTTATTCTTTTTGAGATATTTTATCAATAATACAATCTTGATTGTTTAGTGAAATAATTTTAATTTATTTTGAGCTGAAAAATTCATTTTTTTTCCTTTTTAAAAATTGTTAATACCTTTATTAAAATCTCTTTTTATACTTATAATAATTTTTTTTATCTAATTTAATATTTTTAAAATCATTTTTTTTATGGAATTTAGAAGTTAATAAAAATTATTGATTTTCTTTTACTAAGTTTAAACCAAAAATTGCATTTAAGATAAAATCTTAAAAAGATCTAATGATTTGGGAATAATTGACCGAAAGTTAGATTCCTTTAATATCTTAATCATAAAACTCGCATAAATAATATTTCTAATCTTTAAGAAAAGAAAATAAGAAATCTATTTATTTCCTAACTTTTTCCTCTTTAAAAAATTAATTATTTTTTATTATTATTTCTAAATATCTTCCTATTTTAGAGAAGTTCAGTTTAGGCAAGGCTTCCATCAAAAAATTCTTCAGTTTTAATTCAACTAACTAGCATTCACTCAAGGGTAAAACCTGAATATAGGTATTGTTCCACTCTACTTCAAAGTGCTAATAATTATTTAACCTTAGGGCTTATAAAATTGAAATATCTCGTTCTAATTCTTTTTCTGTTTGCTTATAACTAATTTTAATTAGGTGATCATTATATTAAGCTATATCTAATTCTTCATACCCAATAAATAAATCTCCTTTTTTACTTGATTGTAACAGCTTGCAGATATAAAGATTTTAATTCTTAAGTTGATCAATTATATCACTTTTTTATTTTTCAAAATTATTATTTTTAAATACACCTTTATTGATAGCATCAAATACCTCTTGCTTCCATTCTCTTTCTTAAATTACTCCAGTATATTCATCTCTATCATATTATTTTTATTCATAACCTTCAAATCTGTATTCTTCATATTGCTTTTTTAAAGAAGTGAGCTCGTTATGTTTTAGATAAGACAATTAGTCAATTAAACTCTCATATTATTAGTTATTTATTCCATAGTCAGATAATCCCTATGTTTCACCTTGCATGAGTGGAATCTATTCTTCTTTAATTTTCTCACTAGTAATTAGAACATTTTATGATATGCTTTAGTTTGTTATATAACTATCTCTTGTTATATTCTTAATCTCCTCATCTTAAAATTTATCACTTAAATTTGTAAAGCATGCTTCTTCTAGGCCTCCTAATATTGATAAATTTATTTCATAACCAATTTAGAATAGATTTATAAAAATTACCTTTATTTTCAAATTTAATTGGGTGATTATTAGTATTATCGAATTACTCTTTATCTTTAATTTAATCTTTATATGCTTAAGAGGAAAACTATTACATTAAATCTTCATTTACAATATTAACAATTTTTTATGATATCTCATTATTCCCTACTTATTTTTATGTCTATGCTGTTTTTGACTCTCCTTCTCTCTGATAAGTTTTAACTTGTGCCTAATCTTTTTATAATACTTATGCATAATCAACTTAATTATTTTGCTAATTTTAACTTCCTTGTTAATTACTTTGAATTTTTAATGGTCTAATTTGCTAATTTTCTTTTATAGAATAAATTTTTGATTTTAATTAGGTATCGCATCCATCATCTTAATGAACTAATTATTACTAGTCCTTATTAGTTTTTGTAAGGATAGTAAGCTCTCTTTATTAAGAAGGTATACACTTTTCTTAACTTGGATTAGAACAATTTAATTAAGTCTCTACAGTAGATATAATAGCAATTTATTATTTTTCCTGGTTAACTATTGAGCAAATATCACTTGAAAATAGTCTACTTTTACTAAATTTTTCAATCTTACTTTTCAAGCCTCTTTGAATAGTCAAATCGCTTTCTTAGCTCAAAAAATTTATTTGAGATAACTCTTCTTTGGAATTTATTTTGATTTGTTATTCCAAATTTTCATGAGAGCCATACTAAGTTTAGGTAACTAGGTTTTGAGTAATAATATCTTAATTTGACTATAAGTTATTATTACATTAAGATAAAATATTTTCTTTTTTATCCTTTATCATTTATTTTTAAAGTGTTTTTTTATCCAATAAATATTTTGTTTTTTCTAATTTTTTGCTTGATCTATTATTAATTATTGATTGATTAATTAATTAATATAATAAAGTTTTAATTAAAAAACTACAATTAAAACATTAAAAGATTAGAAATTAATAAAAATATTCATTTAATCTTATTAAAGATTTAGATATAATAGACCCTGGGTAGAAAAATTTGAATATAGATTTTAAATTGATTAATTATTCCTAAAATTTATTTAAATAAATTATTGTTAAATGACATTCTAATATCTTGTGAATTAAAAAATGGTTTATAATTTTTAATTATTTTATTTTTAAAATATAGTATTAGAATTAATTTTTATTATATTACATATATACATAGATACTCGCATATGGTGACATGCACTAGGGATAGGGGCCCTTTTATATAATTACTTATATATTATTATTATATGTAACTAATTTATTATTTATATTTAATTCGTGGGTAATATACTAGAAGATACTAGTTTTTTTATTAATTTTGGGAAAAATAGACAAATTAAATTTCTATTAACTTTATTTATTTGATAAGAATATTGTGGTTAATTATAATCAATACTTAATTTATAAGAAACAAAATCTATTTATTGATGAACTAACTTATATTAATTTATAATTAATTTTCTTATTTCCTAAATACAAAAAATATTTAATCAATTTTGATATTAATTTGACTTGAAACTAATAAAACTTTTTTCATAAAATAAAGGCATATAAAAAAAAGCATAAATTTAATAAATAAGATAAATAATTGAAAATATTTAATTTTTATGATATTAAATTTAACATATAATTTAATTAAATTCACATTTATCTATTAAAAATATTATTATTTATTAACAACATGTAAAAAAATACTAAACAAATATTATAGAGATAGTTTTTATTAAAATTTAACTATTTTGATTTTAATATTTTTCTTAGATAAAATCATCCATCCATTCATTATTCATAGTCTCAGTTAAATCTTCAAAACTGAAATCCCCATTTCTATCAATATTATTGTACCTTTTATGAAAAATAAATATGTTAATTAGTTATTCATTGAGTTTATATTTTTTTTATTTGTAATATTTTTTTCTTTTCAATTTTTTATAGAATTTATAGGGAGGTTTAGAGATATAAATCTGCTAATTTTTCAAATAATGTTTTTTTTCAATTAATTTAAATTTTTACTTTAAATTTAACTAACCTTTTGATTTTTAGGGCTTTTGATTTATGGTAAATGAATTCTTTTATATTAGATCTATTTTTTAAATTTTATTCAAATTAATTTTAATTAAAAAAGAATAAATATTTTCAATTTTATAATATAAAATACTCAACAGCGAGAGTCAGAATCTTAATGTTTTTGCAGTTAAATATTTCTCTCTATTTTAATAGTTATTCTCCATCTCTAATTTTGAATAATTAGGATATTTAGAATTTTGAGTAATAAAGATATTTGAAATTTTTAATAAATAAAAATTACCTGAGATAGCAATATAAATTTAATAAATTTGGTAAACTAGAAAGACATTAATCAAGTTTTAAATATCCATCATATGTTATCATGTTGCTCCTTTTTAATAATAATAATAATTAGATAGTTATAAAAGATGAATGAATGAATAAATATATTTATCCTTTACCCTATACCTATTGATAATTTTTATATCTGCAAGCATTCGCTCAAGCCTTTTGCAACTTCTAAAGCCCCTATATCTCCAAATTTATTTGAACTATTTTATATAAAAATTATATTCACAATATCATATATTAAAGCAGAAAATTAATAATTTAATATTTTCTGGATAGTAAATTATTTTAAATGGTAAAGTATATTGTTAAAGCATATAAATTTAAGATAAATTAATGCAATCAATTAAAAAACCTAATAAAAGGAATTAAATTACTACAACCATAAGTCTAGCTGGGTAAGATTCTTTAATTTACCTAAGTTTATACCAACTGCTTTTGCTCCTTCATCACTGATTTCATTTTCTCTTTAAATAATAAAATTGTATAATTTTAAATATCTGTTTATGATTTAAAAAATTTGCTTCATTTTTAAATTATGCTAGCTTTTATTTTTCTTTCTTTTCTTGCATTATATTTAATGAGTTCATTTCAACTGGTTTAATAAATCAATAAATAAATATTTTACAGTAAACTTAATTCCAATTATTTAATCTGAGGAATTTAACTTAAGGCTGTTGCTAAATATGAAACCCCTTTATCTCCGATAAAACCTCGGCTTTTTATAATAAAAATATAATTTTTTAATTAATAAAATTGAAAATGATTAATTAAGTAGTCTAATTTATTAAATTTAGCAATAAATAAAATAATTTGTAAAATAAAATTAAACAAAATGATCTATTATTTTTTCTTTATTATTAAACATTAGCAATTGTGTATATTTTAATTTTTTAATAAAATATATTTGCAATTTATTAAAAATAATAATAATGTATACATTAGGGATCGACCGTATGACCATTTTTATCATTCGGCCATATAACCATATAATACATTAATCAATTTATAAATTATAACTCTTATTGGTTTATAATTTTCTCAAATAAATTGAAAGGAAATTATTATTAAATAAGGTATGCTTTAAAATATATATGATAATAATTATATTAATTTTATCTTAAAATAAATTTAGAATCTGTATTTAGAAATTTTATCTTTCATCTATTTTTATCAAATTTTATTTTGAAAAATTAATAATAAGTTAAGAATTATATTCAAGAGGATAATTATAAATTAAGTATGTAATTTAAGCTTGCTTCTTATATTTTAATTACAAAAAATAGCTGAAATTTAATCTTGAAAATATTTTAATCTTATCAAAATATTAATTATTTATATAAAGTTTTATATTTTAGTCTAACTTGATAATTTATAATTAATCGATTACTAAAAGAATAGTGTTAAGCTAACTAGGTTCTTGCACTAAGTCAAAGTGATACTAACATTGTATGCTTTTTCCTCACTGATTTCCTAACCACTTATATAATTATATAGATAGAATTTTAAATATTTATTCTTAATATCTAATAAGTGTTTCAAAATTTTTAATTTTTATTTTTAATAGAATAAATAAGATAAATTAGTTAGTTTCTGTTTATCTATTGAAAAATAAATAAATTTAATAGTATTACTTTTCATCTAAATGAAGATCCGTTACATCGCTATTATCATTCGATTTTAAAAACTTTTTAATTATAAAAAATAATTTTTAAATATAAAATAAGAGAATGTGAATAAAAATTACATTTTCTAGATTGTTATAATATTTTTTATTTTCAATCATTTTTTTATTTCAGATTTTAATTTTAATTATTGCTTACAAATTATTAAAGAAATTAAGAAAAATAAAAAAATATAAATTAAAAACGTTAATTACTTTTTAATTAATTTATTCTATTAAAACAATACATAATACAATTATAATGAAAATTTTTCTTCTTCATAAAGTTTGTAAAAATTTACCAAAGTTAAAATTCAGGAAATTAAAAGAGGTATTGAGAACTCATTTTTTTATTAATTTACTTTTTTCTATATAGCTATAAATATAAATTTAAATTGATTTAAATCTAAAATAAATGTAATGAAATACAATCTGTAAAAATAAATAATATTTTTTAATGAAGCAAATACAAATAATAATAACCTTTTTTTCAATTTTATATTTTATCATTTCAAAATACTTTCAATTCAATATATTATTTTAAATATTCATCCTGTAATTTTTAATCTTAAAGTTCTAAATAGCAAAAATAAATTCTTTTTAGAATTTAAGCAGTAAAAGAGTGATTGTATTAAAAAATATTTTTCCTTACTTCGAGAGATTCTATAAAATATATAATAGCCTTTTTGTAATTTTTAAGGTTTTCAAAGTTGATAGCAACATTATATAAAGATAAAGCTAAATCATGATTCTATATTGATTTACTTAATTTAAGAGATTCTTTATAATATAATAAGGCTTTTTAGTGATTTTTAATTTCAGAATAAATTAATCCAATATTATTGAGACATGTTGTTATTGATAGATAATCATATTTGGGTTATTATATGAAGATTTTTAAAGACTCCTTAAAGTATTTTAAAGCTTTTTTATCATCTCCACAATCTAAATAACATTCCCCAAGATTATTGAGACATCTTGCTATTTCAAGGTGATTCGATTTGAAAAATTCACTATTAATTTTTAGAGATTTCTTTAACATAATTTTATAGTTACGACCAAGAAATTGTAGACAAATGGATATATTCTGATTTCAAGAGATTCCAACAAATAATTTAAAAACTACTTGTATCATCCCTTAACAAATAGTATTTCCCTATATTATTCAGAGACTATGAAATATCATTAAGAGATTTTTCTAAATAATCCAAAGCCTTTTAATTATCACCAATATTTTGATAAAAATTAACTTTTTTATTCATAAATGTTGCAATTTGACGGATTTTATCTATAAGCGATTATGTCATTTCAAGACTTTTTAAGAAAAAATTTAAGGCCATTTTGTTTTAACCAAGATTTAAATGGCATTATCCAATTATATCAAGAGTTTCCGTTATTGAGTGATGATCCTCTTTAAATAATTTTCTTTTCATATCTAGAGATTAATATAAATATTCTAATGCCTTTTAATTATCACCAAGACTTTGATAGCATTGCCCAGCATCATGTAGAGTAGAAGCAATAACAATATGATCCTCTACAAAAATTTATTTTGCCATTTAAACAGATTTCTCAGTATATTCTGCTGCCTTTTAGTAATATCCAGAAAATCTTAAAAATTCACTTATTTCACTGAGAATTTTGACATTTCTAGTTGTATTTTTACTGTAAATTTATTACTAAATTTTAAGCTACTCATGATAATAGTCTAAAGCATTTTATAAATTATCAATTATCTAAGAGCATTATACAACAGTAATATAGGATTCATATATTGAAAGAGGATTTGGAATCTATTTAATTTTATTTAGAGATAATAAATTACTTTTTAATAAATTTTAATAGTCACCAACAGTTTTAAAAGGATATCCAAAAAAATTTTCAAAACATGTTGTATCAGCATTTACGATTGTTTTCTAACTTGAATTAATATTTTAGGCAGAATATTTTTATAAAATATTTAAAGAGTCTAATAAATTAATTAGAGATGTACCCATTTATAAGGAACCGATTCCTAAAATTTTTTATAATATTAATAAATGTAACTCTAAACAATTTTTTCTATCCTTTGGTTTTTATTAAAGCATATCATATCTAATTATATCTTTAAATTATGTAATGAATTTTTTATTATCAGGCTTGAGGCGTTCATAGCATTCATTTATTTTTAAAAATGTTATCCCTAAAGAATAAATATCAGATTAATAGTCTGTTTCAGTGCTTAAACTAGGATGAGAATGAAATGCCTATTTAATTTACAAAAGGCAAATAAAATATTTACAGATATTTCAAATAAAGTAACCCACGCTTTTTTTATATATTTTTATTTTTTATTATAAAAAAACACAAGGGTGGGTTACTTTTTTGAAACATCTGTATTAATTAATTAATTTTTTAATTATTATTTAGAGCTAAATAAGCTTAAAACACATTTATTTTTTAATATTTTATAAAATGTCATTTTATTTTTGAAAAAATTAATTTTGGATAATTTTTCAACATGAGAAAAAATGTTTGTAATTTTTTGATGGCAACTTACTTTAATCTATTCAGGGGAAGCATAACCTTATGTGAAACCTTTAATTTCAATTTTTTATTATTTTTTAACAGATGAAATACCAAAATCAGAAAAAACATAATCACCCTATCTGGTAATGAGAATATTAGATGGTTTAATATCAAGATGGATAATATTTTTAAATCTAAGTTTAATCAAACCATCTATTAACTGATTTATCATTTAATACAATTTCAATCTAGGAAACTTTCTTTCTTTTTAGATTTTTTATAATTCTTCTTATAAACTGCATTCACATTTTTCTAAAACTAAAACATCTATTGTCTCATTTATTTTAATATGTTCAATAGTTTTAACCACGTGATCACTAATATCTAACATTTTCATAATATTATATTCCGTCTAAGCATCTTCATTAAATAAAATTTTGAAAGCTAATTCTTGATATTCAAAGAAAGAATGTTTATAGCCTTCAAAAATTAAACCACATCCTCCTTTATTTAAATACTTGGTAAGACAGTATTGCTTTTCATACAATTTTCTTAAAATTAAATCTTAGTTTTATTTAAATTCTTAAAAAATAAAATAATAGTTACACTTTTATCCATGTTTGCATCCGTTACATTAATTGCAGTTTTTCTAATTTAATATTTTATCATTCATTTAGTTAAATTATTCATTTGACCACTCAATCATAGGTTTAAGCTTTGAAAAGATATTATAATATTGAATATAAACATCCCTTTTTAAAATAAAGATATGAATCTAATTGATTGGTATAATAAAAAGATTGACTTCCTCTTTAAATTCTCTGATAATATTATATTCATTTATTTCTGATTCTGTTGGTTTTTATTTGATTATGAATATATAATCTTCATAACATCCATTTGGTTATTATTTATAGCCTATAAAAATAGTTCTGTTCTCATTTGATTCAAAGCACTTGCATAAATAATATTATTTATTTTTAAGTATCTTCAATATCCATTTTTATTAACTTAAAATTTATTTATTAAAAACTAGTTTTTAATTTTCTATTTCAAATAGCTTTTTACTCCATTATCTTACATTAGAATTATGTATTTGTTTTTTATCATAGTCTAAATATTTGTATTATTCATTTTGATATGCTTTAAAGTTGTATTCATTTATTTGTTCTAAAATATCCTTTTATTTCGAAAAATCTTGCATTTTGTAAACATTTTATTCTTAAATTACTATATCATTGATCTAAGAACTCTAACCTAAATTATCTAAGAATGATACTTTTTTTTTATGATCAAGATCTGATTCATTTTATTTCCCTTGATTTTTAAAGTCATTATCTGACTATTTAGATAAGTCTTCTTGGCTTTCTAGTTGAGGCATTTTATCAAAAACACAATCTTGATTGTCTTGAGAAATAGCTTTAATTTATTTTGAGCTGAATAATTTATTTTTTATTTTTAAAAAAAATCTTTACTATCTTTATTAAAATATCTTTTTATATTTAAAATAATATTTTTTATCTGCTTTAATAGAATATTTTTATAGAGATCTATAATGTGAAAATTATTGGTTTTCTTTTACTAAATTTAAACCAAAAATAGCATGCAAGATAAAATCTTAAAAAGATTTGATTATTTGGGAATAATTGACTGAAAGTTAGATTCCTTTAACATCTTAATCATAAAACTCATATAAATAATATTTCTAATCTTTAAGCAACGAAAATAAGAAATCTATTTATTTCCTAACTTATTCATCTTAACATAATTAATTATTTTTTATCACTATTTCTAAATATCGTCCTATTTTAGAGAAGTTCAGTTTAGACAAGGCTTCCATCAAAAAATTCTTCATTTTTAATTCAACTGACTAGCCTTCACTCAAGGGTAAAACCTGAATATAGGTATTGTTCCACTCTACTTCAAAGTGCAAAAAATTATTTAACCTTAGGGCTTATAAAATTGAAATATCTTATTCTAATTATTTTTCTGTTTATTTATAACTAATTTTAATCAGTTGATCTTTATATTAAGCTATGTCTAGTTCTTCATATCCAATAAATAAATCTCCTTTTTCACTTGATTGTAACAACTTGCAGATATAAAGATTTTAATTCTTAAGTATATTAATTATATCACTTTTTTATTTTTCAAAATTATTATTGTTAAATTCACCTTTATTGATAGCATCAAATATCTCTTACTTCCATTATCTTTCTATAATTACTCTAGTTTAATCACCTCTATTTTATTATTTTTATTCATAATCTTCAAATCCGTATTCTTCATATTGCTTTTTTAAAGAAATGAACTCTTTATGTTTTAGATAAAAGAATTAGTCAATTAAACGCTCAAATTGTTAGCCTTTTATTGTTTTATCAGACAATCGTAATGTTTTACCTTGCATGAGTGGAATACATTCTTCTTTAATTTTCTCACTGGTTATTTGAATGCTTTATGATAAGCTTTAGTCTGTTATATAACTATCGCTTGACATTTATTTAATTATAGACGTAATTTCCTCTTCTTAAAATTTATCACTCTAATTTGTATACTATGCTTCTTCTATACCTCCTAATATTGATAAATTTATTTAGTAACAAATTAAAAGTAGATTTATAAAAATTACCTTTATTTTCTAATTTAATTTGGTGATTATTAGTATTATCGAATTACTCTTTATTTTTAATTTAGTCTTTATATACTTAAGAGGAAAACTATTACTAAAAGTCTTCATTTACAATATTAACTATTTTTTAAGATATTTCCTATGTTGTTTTTGACTCTCCTTCTCTCTGGCAAGTTTTAACTTATTTTTCATCGTTTTTTTACGCTTATGCATTATCAACTTATTTATTTTACTAATTTTTACTTCTGTTTTAATTACTTTGAATTTTTAATGGTCTAATTTGCTAATTTTCTTTGATGGAATAAATTTTTGATTTGAATTAAGTATCGCATCCATCATCTTATAGAGCTAGTTATTATTAGCCTCTATTATTTTTTGTAAGAATAGTGAGCTCTCTTTAAGAAGGTATAAACTTTTCTTAACTTGGATTAGTAGAATTTAATTAACTCTCTATAGTAGATATAATAGCAATTTATTATTTTTACTGGTTAATTATTGTGCAAGTAGCACTTGAAAATACCCTACTTCTACAAAATTTTTCAATCTTACTTTTCAAGCCTCTTTGAATAGTCAAATCTCTTTCATATCTCAACAAGTTTATATGAGATAACTCTTCTTTGGGATTTATTTTGATTTGTTATTCCAAATTTTCATGAGAGTCATACTAAGTTAGGGTAACTAGGTTTTGAGTAAAAATATCATAATTTAACTCTAAGTTATTATTACATTAAGATAAAATATATTCTTTTTTATCTTTTTTCATTTATTTTTAAAGTGTTTTTTTTCCAATAAATATTTTCTTTTTTCTAACTTTTTACTTAATCTATTTTTAATTATTGATTAATTAATTAATTAATTTAATAAAGTTTTAATTAAAAAACTACAATTAAAACATTAAAAGATTAGAAATTAATAAAAATATTCATTGAATCTTATTAAATATTTAGAAAAAATAGACCCTGGGTAGAAAAATTTGAAAACAGATATTTTTTTAATTTATAATTTTTCATATTTCTAACTCTAGAAATAATTTTCTGAAAATAACTATATAGGTATTAACACTTATATCAACCACATACGTAATAAATATAAAAATATATTAAAAGATAAAAATGAATATAAAGCAATTATTTTAAAAATAATGTACTCATAAATAAGTTTTATTTTTTATCTTTCATTAAATTTATTAAAATGTAGCAAATAAAATAATTCTCTATTTATATTTTATTTGTTGAGAATAATTTTTCAAATAAGCTCAAATATTATTATTATTTTTAAAAGATAAAAATCAATCTTATTCGTTTTTAATTTCAAAGAAAATTAAAGAATTTCTAGAATTTTTTATGTTGTTATAGAGCTGCATTTTTTTTGTGCAAGCAATGATTTTTTAAACATTTTTATTTATTCTTATATTATTTGTAGATTGAAATCTTTCAATACATTTCCATTTTATACATCTTTTTAATTTTTGTATTTATTTTTCTAAAAATGATGTTAGTATCAGCCAAATACAATAGAAGAAAAAGATCATATTTATAACCTAAATTAGTAAGTAAAATGCTATTTTAAAATTTTTAAAATTGCTTTATTCGTTTTAATTTTGCTGTAAGTACATAATAGAGGAGAGCAATATCATATTTGAAATAATTATTGATATTTTTTCTAAATTATTTAGAAAAACTGAAATGAAAGGATTGAAGCTATTTAAAGTCAAAACATATCCAAACAAAATAAAAGAAATCATTATGAGACTTATTTAAGGATACTACTTCAAAGAGACTGAAAATAAAACTATCAAGCTTTTTATTAAAATTCTAATCATCTCCCAAAAGAAAAATTTATCTTTATATTCATTATACAAAAATCCAAATGTAAACATAACTTTCACTTTTGTCAGTCTTTTGCGAGATTAAAACAATTTTACAAAAACTACTGCAGGGAAAATAATCAGAAATAGGATTAATATCACTAAGCTTAGATTTTATATTTTTTAGAGTTCTGGAGAATTTCCACATTCTAGACTAAGATCAAGAAGAGAATAATATGTATCCTTGTCAAGGTTTAGACAAAAGAAACCAGAGAGTGTTTTTTCTAATAGAATTGAGTAAAAAACTATCATAAATATGTATATAGAAGTAAGGAGAGTGGCATATAGACTCCTTCTGAATAGTTTTCTTTTCAAAATAAATACCGCTATTGATACAAAAATTGCAATTGAGCTAATTAATACTGGTATAATAAATGTAATAAGAAGATTTGTAAATCCCATATTCACAGATTCAGGTTTATATTGAGAAATTAAGCAGTCTAAAGAGAAGAAAGGGGAACTTAAGGGATTGTAAAATAAGAACTAAAACTCAAAAAAAGTAGAAATTATATTAATTTTTGTGAATTAACTTGATATGAAGTAGACTTAAATATGAAATAGTAAGATTTTGATGTAAGTAGAAGTCAATGTTTATTATTTAAGAGTTTTTCCTATGAAAAAAATTCCCATTTTAGTTAAATAAAGTGCATAAAGTTCGTTTTTAAGTTTTTTAAATGTCGAAATTAAAATAAATACTAGACTTAATATCAGTACAACAATTAATATTGTTATTTTTATTGCATTAGAAGATATAGAATTGCATTTTACACATTAAAAGAAACCCACACTAGAATACTTTTCATTCCAATAGGTACCATAAATATCACAGTTTAAGCACTAAGCTCCTATATGACCTTCATAACAAAGCTCATTACCAATTCCACTACCTTTTATATTTAAAAATAATTTATATTAAAATTTAAAAATAGAATTTTGATTAGAAATTAAAATAATTTGATTGGAGAAGAATTTAAAGTACCTCCTTAACAGTTTTCTGGGTTATTCATGCAATAATAAATGTCTTATGACTCTACAGAATATTTTGATCTCCAATATGATTGCTTTAATTAAGAGTAATTTCCATAACATTGTGAGAAATAATCTGATTAACAGCTTTGGCACACCCCACTATAACTTGCCTTCATTTGTTCACAGTACTTGCATATGAATAGAGTATTTTAGTGGCTTTGCAAATAAACTCTTTCCATTCCTTGTTCTTTACATCCGTTGTATATTTTATAATAGCTTGATTTTATAGAATAGAGTTTTACTAAGGAAATATTAATAACTTCGAGATTTACTGTTTATTAACCATTAAATTTTACATCTTGAGCAGACCATATTAGAAAAGGATAATTTAAAGAAAAAAGCTGAGCAGGTGTGGTAGACACAAAATTATTTGAAGGTGAAATTAGAAAATTATAAAGATTACCAAAATTATTGTTATCAGTGTACTGATCATACCAATTTCCATCTACTTAAATAGAAAATTTTATAATATAAGTCAAACCAGGGTATAAATATTGGTCAGTTTTTATAAATAAATTTGAATTGTTCGGATTATTATTATTGTTGTTTATTTCTAAGATCTCATCAATTTTTAAATCCAGAGGATATTTGTTATAATTATTAGCTGCTAAGTAACCTGTATTTTCTGAAAATTCATTTAAATTTGGGATAGAATCAGTTTTTTAAATAAAATAGATAGCACCTCCTATTTAACTAGTGCATTAAATAAATTTATTTTGATCACCAATAGTTGAAACACCCGATATTGCACCTCCTAAAAGTTTGCTTTTGCATTATTTAAATGTGCTATTAGAAATTTTTACTTAAGATATTTAATTAACTTGGAATGTATTCATAAAATTTAAACACCCACCAAAATCACTTGAAGATCCATTGAGTATTTGCGATAAATCTAGTTTAAAATCAGAAAATCCATTTAAATTTAAAAATTAAATAAAACCTTATGATTATAAATCAGCAAATATTTATGAAAAATAGATACTATTTTTACTCTACTTATATTCTAATTCTATTTAGAAGATTGAAATTTTAAATAAATCTGAGTTAACTTTATCAATCTAAATTATTTCAAAAACACCACTATCAATATTTTTTAGATTAAACAAAGAAACTTTATTAATCATTATTTAAGATATCTTAAAATTCTATAGCCGAATAAATAAAATTTAATTTGCCTTAATTAAATTCGAAAAACAAATGATACTTTATAATTCTAGATTTAATATCAAAACTACATCAAAGTTTTATAAATCTATGAAGTTCTCTTCAATTTGCAAAGATGAAATTTCGATTTTTTTTATTTCAAATTTTTAACCTTTAATACCTTAAATAAGCGATCCACATGCTTATTAGCTTAAATGAATAGCAATATAATTAATCTCAATAATTTTAGTATTAAAAAATTTAATTAAGCTTTCCTATCTTTATAATATCATGTAAGAATACCCTTCAACAATAAACTCATTTATCATAAATGAAGAAACATGATAAAAGATTAATTACAGAAAGGAACGATTATTCTATTTATTATAAGTAAGTTTGTTAATTTATACTGAAACCTAGCAAGCTTAATCTTGTAGTTATTGGAATAATAATACTTAAAAGTCAGAGAAACCTATCGGTGATACTTAGTATGATATTTAATCTATTAAAATACTCCCGATCTTATCCAAGCCATCTATAATATTAAACATAATTATCTCTTTTTGTTCATGTAAAAATTGTTATGAAAAAAAATTTATTTCTATATTAATATTCTTAATATATATTTTAGAGTTTGATAAATAAAGTTAGTTCATTTAGGATTTTAATGGCTGCTCAAAATTTTCATTATAAAATATATTTAAATTGTTTATTGTTAATTATTAACTGCCTTTTAATTCAAATTAATAGACCAAAGAATTTTCAAAATAAATTTGATCTATACTCATATTATCAGATATTAAATTAATTTCGCAATAAGATTTGAGATCCTAAAATAATATCTATACTATATTTATTTAGCTTATTTAAGTTATTTTTATATTATTAGAGAAATCTATTATATTAGAAATACTAAGCAATTAGATATTTAAAATATTTACGCCATTAATTATAATTTGATCTTGTTGTAAAGAAGATTAAATCTTTTATAAAACTAATTTTTCTATATTCACAATAACTATATTTTGGATTATTATTGAAGAAGATATTTTTACATTTACTAACTATAAGTCTAAATTTAATTCGTTCTAATTTTATATATATATAATACTACCTTAGCCCTAGCAAGAGTAAGGAATATTTTATACTTGAAGCTATTAAGTTATATTAATATCACAGCTTTAATCATGGAAACTGTTATTACTGTTGTTGTTTTTATTGTTATTGTTGATTGCACTATAGGATTTAACTAGTGCAGTAAGCGATATTAAGATAATTAGCTAATTTTTCAAGGAATTCATTTTAAATTAATTAATTTTTACCTAATTTCTTTTTAGATTTTTATCAATAAGTTTATTTTTTTAAGTAAGAATTTATTAAAAAAATTGCTCGGCCGTCTATTTTTTGAAAGAAAGAAAGAAAGAAAGAAAACATATCTTCCTAATAGAAAAAGAAAAGAAGCTTTTTTAGTATTTTTTTTAAATAGAAAAGTGTAAAAAAGAAGTGATAATCAAAAAGGTTAATTTTTCTATTCGATCAAAAAAAATTTTCTGATAAGCAAAATTTTTCTAATGAAAAAGAATTTGATTTTTTTGTTTTAATAATGAATTTAAATTCAATTTATAAGCTTATTTCTAACAAAATAAGAATGGCCATCTTATTTATATTTATAATTCATATTTTTTGAAAAGTTCTTCACTTATAATCTAAAAAAAGCTTTAAATTTATATATAAATTCAAATTTTTATAATTTAGAAATATCTAAATAAATTATTGTTACAGTAATAACTCTTATCATTTTTTATCAATCAAAAATAGATACAAATTAATTATTTTCAAAAAATTTAGCTATTCTACATGAAATACTTAATCATCAAACAATAAATTTTTGATCTAACATTTTACTCAAATTGTAAAATAACTAATATGTATATTAAATTAATTCATTACTAACAATATCCATTTAATTTTTAACAAACAATAAATTAATTTTTTGGCATTTTAAGTTATTATATTTATAAAAGGAAATATATTTAACTATTTACTTGGAAATCATATTATTAATTAAAAAAATATTAAGATATTTTTGTTGAACAAGCTTGAATATATTATATGGTACTAAATATAATAAATATATGTCCCCTTTTTAAAATACAAGATATTTTCATTTTTTAAAATAATTGAATATATAATTAATTATTGATTATTACTTAATCTTTAATCTGATGTGCTATTCATTCAAATTTATTTATGAAAGTTATCTATATTAGCTGTCAGTTAAATTTTATTTAAAAAATGTTATATTTTTTTTGAACTTTTTAGATTAAACTTGAAAATATTTTTATTTAAATAAAATAAAATTTAGGTTGGAAACCTAATTATTTTGATAGATACCTTTTTATTTTATTTTTAAATCAAAAAATAAAAAAACTAAGCTTTGTTTATCATAAATAAAATTGCATCCTACTCTAATTGAATAAAATTTCTAAGAAAATATTCAGTTTTTTATGAATCTTAAGAAGATAATAAATTATTTAAATATTAATCTTTTTATTCTTAAATAAAATGCTTCTAAATTTTAAATTATGAAGGAAGTATAAAATGACTTTTTTTAGCAAAAATAAATAAAAATAAATTATTCTTCACAATATTAAGAATATAAAATAATTAATTAATTGATAATATAATAAAATTTTATTCTTAAATCTTATCAATCAATAAGTAATTTTTTATTAAGTTATTTGTCAATCAAAATCACCATAAGCATCAGAGACATCATCATGTCTCACCTAACAAATTTGTTTTTTATAAAAGTAAAAAATTTAATAAAGTAACTTTTAAATTATATTGTTAATTATTTTATTTAAATTATGAAAAATTAAAGATATTTTTAATATTTACACTAAATTTAACTAGCCTTTTGATTTTAAGTGCTTTTACTTTGTGCTAAAAACTTACTTTTTTATCAGATCTTTTTTTAATAAATTTTTTTATTGTAAATAAACATTTTATTTCAATTTATTAACTTTTGTAATTTAGAAAATTAATTAGTATTAAAAGTATTCAAAATATAAATAAATCTATTTAAAAATAGCTTTATTGATCAAATAAAAAATTATTTTAATTTCTAAAACAAAAAAATATTTTAGTCAAAAAATTTTGAAATAAATTATATATTATTTTTTACGCTAAACTTAGAGTAAGTACATTTATGTTTTTACATTCAATTATGTCTCTAGACTTTAATAATTTTTCTTTATCTCTAATTTAAAAAAAGACAGTTAAGAGTAAATTGAAAAATAAATTTTACATGATGTAACAGTATAAAGAAAACAAGTTTGGTAATTAAGCAAAACATTTATCAAACTCTTGGTAACCCTCATCACTAATATTTTTTTTTCTTATTTAATTTTGAAATAATTTTACATAGTATTGAGTGAGGGATTTATTGAATATACTATTTTGATCAAATTTTATAAGGTTAAGCTGAATAAAAATAAAAAAATTAATCTTTGTTTATCATAAATCAAATTTCATCCTACTCTAATTTAATAAAATTTCTAAGAAAATATTCAGTTTTTTATGAATCTTAAGAAGAATATAAATTGCTTAAATATTAATCTTTTTATTATTAATCCTTTCTTAAATAAAATGATTCTAAATTTTAAATTATTAATGAAATATAAAATGACTTTTTTTATCAAAACTACATAAAAATAAATTATTCTTCACAATATTAAGAATATAAAATAATTAATTAATTGATAATATAATAAAATTTTATTCTAAAATCCAATCAATAAGTAATTTTTTTGTTAAGTTATTTGTCAAGCAAAATCATCAAAATCATCATAAGCATCAAACATAACCAGAATGTCTCACCTAAGAAATTTATTTTTTATTATAGTAAAAAATTTAATTAAGTAACTTTTAAATTATATGTTAATTTAAATTATGAAAAATTAAAGATATTTTGAATATTTACACTAAATTTAACTAGCCTTTTGATTTTAAGTGCTTTTACTTTGTGCTCAAAACTTACTGTTTTATCAGATCTTCTTTTTTAATTATTTTTTATTATAAATAAACATTTTATTTCAATTTATTAATTTTTGTATTTAGAAAATTAATTAGTATTAAAAGTATTCAAAATATAAATTAATCTATTTAAAAATAGCTTTATTGATTATATAAAAAATTATTTTAATTGCTAAAATAAAAAAAATATTTTAGTCACAAAAATATAGAAATCAATTTTATATTATTTTTTACTCTAAAAATAGTGTAAGTACATTTATGTTTTTGCATTCAATTATGTCTCTAGACTTTAATAATTTTTCTTTATCACTAATTTAAAAAAGACAGTTAAATAGTAAATAGAAAAATAAATTTTACATGATGTAACAGTATAAAGAAAATAAGTTTGGTAATGAAGCAAAACATTTATCAAATTCTTGGTATCCCTCATCACTCATATTGTTTGTTCTTATTATTTATTAGAAATGTGTAAATATTTTTCTTTACTTAATCTTTTAAAAAATATTTTGAGTAAGCATATTAATTTATTTACCCTATTCCTATTGATAAACTTTTTAGTTCGGAGCAATTTCTCAAACCTGCTTCAATTTTTTTAGCTCCTCTATCTCCAAATTTGTTTAAACTTTCATATTAAAAAATAAATCATAAAGCTTAAAAAAAATAATATATTTTTTTTCATTTTAAATTTAAACAATATGAAAATAATTCACAAAATTAAATTAAACAATAAAGCTACAATTAAAAAAAAATACTATATCCATATTTCTAGCTTAGTTAGATTCTTTAATTTGCCTAAAGCTGTTCCAACAGCTAAAGCTCCATCGTCACCAACTTAATTATCACTTGAATACAAAATAATTTATTTATTTACTGATTAAGATATTAAATTAATAAATTATTTTTTTAAATTTGTTTCCATATGATTAAATTAGTTTTTATGTAATAAAGTTATGAAAATTTTTCATAAAAGCAAAAAAAATAATAAATGGTATTTACATTAAACTTATTTCCAACTATTTGATCATCGTAAAATTGCTTAGGGAATTTACTAAACTGGAGATTCCTATATCTCCTATTTTTGCATGACTATTTTATGTAATTAAAAAAAATAATTAATTTATCTTGAGAAAAGAAAAACATAATATTGTAAATTAACAAAAATTTAAATTATTAAACAAGATTTTACAGATATTTTACTAAAAATAACTTTTTATTAAGCAAAATTCTTTAAAAAATTAAGATTTTAACTCAAAAATAAAAAAACTAATCTTTGTTTATCATAAATCAAATTGCATCCTACTCTAATTTAATAAAATCTCTAAGAAAATATTCAGTTTTTTATGAATCTTAAGAAGAATATAAATTGCTTAAATATTAATCTTTTTATTATTATTCCTTTCTTAAATAAAATGATTCTAAATTTAAAATTATTAATGAAATATAAAATGACTTTTTTTAGCAAAAATAAATAAAAATAAATTATTCTTCACAATATTAAGAATATAAAATAATTAATTAATTGATAATATAATAAAATTTTATTCTAAAATCTAATCAATCAGTAATTTTTTTGTTAAGTTATTTGTCAAGCAAAATCATCCAAATCATCATAATCATAATATATAGGGATATCATCATCATATTCCACCTAAGAAATTTGTTTTTTATAATAGTAAAAAAAATAATAAGTAACTTTTAAATTATATTGTTAATTATTTTATTTAAACTATGAAAAATTAAAGATATTTTGAATATTTACACTAAATTTAACTAGCCTTTTGATTTTAAGTGCTTTTACTTTGTGCTAATAACTTACTT